AAACAAACAGTTCAAGACAAATATTTTTGCAAAATAAATATTTGTCGAATTTTTATCATTTCATGTTTTAGTTCTTCAATAAGGGTATCTTTCGATGCTACTTTTTTTGCATTCAATAATATAACCAAAATCATCTCAAAATGGATAGTTCAATAAATATAAATGTGAATTATTTAGTGGTTAATTTTTCTTGTTGATGAAAAGAGGAAAAGTTGCTCTGACATCATTATTGTGTTAATTAAATGATGAAAGGTTTTGCATAGTCCTGATAAAATATTCAATTTGACATTGACAGTCATTTTTGATCATGAAAGACTAATTCATGCTCAATAAGTACATAATATTATTCAAGTATCAATAGAATGTGGATATGAAAACTTTGGAATAGATTGAAGATTTCATCAGAACCATGCAAAATCTCATATCACTCAATTAACACAATAATGATGTCTGAACAACTTTTCCTTTTTTCATCAACAAGAAATATTAACCACTGAATAATATGCGTGATTGCCTCAATAAGTTCTATCAGAATATTTATGTTAAAACAATAAATAAAAGTTTTTCAACCTTTAATTTATGGATACCTTGTATAAAATAGAAACTCTAGCTGATCATGTATTAAAAGTAAATTGTCATTGTTTGCAAATATTAGTAGATAGTGAACGTTCTTTAAGACGTTTAATAAAAGTATTTTGTAATGTATTTAAATGTTCATATGTTGGCTCCTGCATATCAATAGTTAGTTAACCAATTTTAATCCAAAGATTTCCAAAATACATAAATATAAATGACCATTCACAGTAGTCGTCAAAAGTTCTGCTACCAGGTAAAAAGTATCTAAACGTGAATCCTTGGGTCTCATAGTTTGGCAACAAATAGAGCACGATAAACTCTGATCTCAAGCAATAATCAGGACTAGATCGACTTTCAAACAAAGAAGCTAGCAGACCAACATAGATCTTTTTTGTTCAGACGAGGATATTTCAACATTAGCAAGAAATTTTAGAGCGTTCGATCACTCATTCGAGAGCTTAGTGCTGTCTCTATCATCGATAAAAATTTCATATCACACGATCGTAGTTTACTTGATCTATGATGCTATCTTTGTGTAGTCGTAGCATGAGAGTTAACGGAACTTGTCAAAAATTTACCTGTAATTCTAACTATTTTCAACCATTTATTTTGAAATTTTCTTCAGAAAGTTGCCTGGTCTAATCAAGTATTCCCTAAAATTGCATGATTATAGTAATTGATCGAGCGGAGATCTATGCGAAGACCGTCCCAAATAATCGAAACGTCACTACACCTCAGGATCACAGCAGACTGGATTTTCCTATCTGTGACACAGGATCGATATGTGCAGCTTTATTTGTTAATAAAATGAAGGATATTTATCCTTCAACATAATGGCAAACTAGAAAGGCATCAAGAAAATCTTTTTTGAGATCCAAAGATCAAAAGCAGTGTGTTTTTTTCTAAATCCGATGCATTAAAGTCGCTTCAGTTGACGTTAGTGCTTGTCATCAGGTTATAGCGAGCTCTGTTTGTAATAAAAATACCCAGAGAAAAGATTCAAGTTTAGGTACTGTTTACCTGATAGTGGAGCTTTTTGCGAGTTACTCGCCTGCTCACCATACAGTTTTTGCTGCAAATAATATTATAATAGATTCGAAAAAATAGATAATGAGACCAAATAAAATAACTATCATGTACATAGATCTAGCAGGAAGAGAAGAATAGATGATAGTGCAATAAATAATTTAGTATATAGAGTTTCCATAAAACACATTTAAACTTTACCAAAAATTCAAGAGTTTTTTCAAGCTTCTAGTGAATATGTCCACCATCATCAGCAAACAATAACAACAACACAAAATATATAGAGAACAATTACATACATTTATATCCAACTGAATGATTTAACAAGATAATATTTTGAATAAAGAGAGAGAATATATAAAAATTTTATTTGGATCTATATTCATGTAATAGTTTTGTATATTTTATTTTTTTTTATTGTTTCATGATGAGAATGAGCATACTAACCAAAAGCTTGAAAGAAAATTGTCGAATTAGGATAGAATTCAAATGTGTTTTGTGTTATATACATATGTAATTATTTATTCAACTATCATTCATTCTCTTCTTTCTGTTGAATTGATATAAATGATAGTTATTCATTTGTTTTGTAACATTCACTTTAATTGACTCTATGAACGAGTTTGACAATGCATAGTTACTCATTTTGGTCTCATTATCCATTTTTGTATTTTAGTTTCTTCCAACTATTAACATGAATTAAAAGTATAAAATGTCCAGAAAGACATTGACCAAAAAGAAAGCTTTCTATTTCAGTCATAGTTCTATTGAATGAACTGGTTTTTGTACTAATGGTAGAGAACTATTCTAAGTTTTTAATCAATAGTACGGATATCTCAAATATTCTTATAAGTAACATGTTCTAGTTTAATACACAAAAAAGGCATTTTGCAAGATACAAAAATAAAATAATATACAGGACTGTTTCTTGGATAGTTTCTATTTTGATGCTTATAAAGAAAGAGAAATAGGCCTCAATGACAAAAAATGCACATTAATAAGATAAAATGTAATAAATTCAACATAGTCCCTACATATTGTTCTTTAGTACCTTGGAAAAGAATTTTAGTTGTATATTGTACCTGAATGCGTTACTTTGTAAGAGTATTTGACAAATTCATATTATTGAATAAAAACTTCGAACTGTCCTCTACCATTTATTACAAAAACTAGCTCATCCAATAGAACCGTGATGGAAATATGAATTTTTCTTTTCTTTCTTTTGTGAATGATTTCCCAGATACTCTGTACTTTCTTTGATCTCAGGAATGTACCGAAATCACAAAAATTGGAAGTATCTATGAATTACGAGATTGATAAAAAAAAAGATTCTGAAATTTTGCTGGGAAAGAATGAAAATTCTTCAAGATTGGAGGATCCCGCTACTCGGTATACCTCTGTTTGCTTTTATGAAATAAAAGAAATAGTAATTTTTAGATGAGACCAAAAAATGCATAAGGAAACGTTTGTTTTTACATTAAATCCTAGGCGAGGAGCTTTTTTGATCGACTCGTAGATCTCTGATTACCATATACTAATAGGAAAGACAACCGACTTCATTATTTGATAAAATGAATCATGTCGAAAACATTCAAGTCATCGCCTTGAATTAATTTGTTTATTATTTAATTCATTTCTTGCAACTGATGATGAAAATCTATTATCAGCTAGTTTTCATGAAGAATTTCATAAACGATCATTATCCATTATTTTTTTAAAAAAGAGAAAATTAATATTATTTGATCCTTTTTTTTTATTTTCTTCATTAAAAAAACAACGAATAAAAGTATATTACACATATAGACAAAAGATAAATCAATCAATATCGAAAAAAATTTAGATGTTGTTTGTTAGAATTTTAAGAAAATACTAATATATAGTGAAAATTATTTTCTTTCTAATGATAATTAAATTTGTTCGAAGATAGAATATTCGATATTAATAGACGATGCTACCGGTAGTGTATCTTCAGAGAATCTCAATACTAAATGATCGATAAAACTTATTTATTGATCATTTCTTTCATTCTTCACATGTTTTATTGGTTCGAATAGCCATCATGGTGCACTCAATACCATCTACCAATGAAGATCTTGAAAAAATGACTTTGACAAGAACATTTATTCAGACAAAAACCTTTATATTTCTTCATGAGTGCTAGCAACAGAAATCAAAATCTCCGAAAGACTGTTCTAGGTCCAGCGCCCTCTCTAGCGCATTTTTTTAAACATTGATTCGATGATTTATAGTAACAGTTGCTGATTCTATACAAATGATTCATCAGATTATTCCGAAAACGAATTCATTAATGCACATGTTCAGGTCATTCTATAACTGGATCAATTAAAAAGATAATTTTACAGAAAAATTAAGTATAGCTTATAACATCATTATATCATATTTTCATTGTTACTATTTTTAGTTTTGCTATTTTGTTAATGTCATTAACTAGTGTCATCTTTATCGTAGATAATCAAATTCGAAAACTAAGCCAAAATAGTTGATGTAGCTGATACAGACGGCTTAAAGGCACTCACACATATATAGAATTAGTTGATCTCGAGTCATATCCGATGATTTTTTTAATAATTAAACATTTTTCATGCGTTTTGATAATATAACATTCTCCTATCACAGATAATTAGCAAAGAGCGTCATCTATTAGTTTTTCTAGAAATCATCAGTATAATATTTAGCAGTAATACTATTAAAATTATACTAATTCTGATTATATATAAATTTTAATATGTTACTCAATTATAAAAAAAATCATCACGTGATGCATTTAGAAATAATCATTGGAAGATCAGTGCATTTGAAACATCAGTCATTAGATCATCTATATACTATAACAAGTCAATAGAAATGTCGAATAAATTGGTCTTTTTTGTACCTTATCATACAGGTTATGCTCATATAGAATTGATTCTTTCGTTCGCCTCGTTTGCTGACGTTCATCTCTTCGTTTATAAATGGAATCCTGCTCAACAGCTCGTACGAGATTACTTTTCCAGATCAATTCATGTTAAAGTTCATGAATTTAGTATCGATGCTATTCTTGCAGAATTAGTCGTGCAACAACAACAGCAACATCGAGTAGTTGTTCTTCTCACTGCTTCTATAAATTATTCACTCGGACAATTACAGTTTCGTTTCTTTTGTAGTATACAAAAAAATGCACCTTCAATTATCGACGTCTACTCCACGGGTCACTGCATGTATGGATGTCAAAGTTGTGCTCATGCATATTCACATCGCTTACCAATTACTTTCACTAATTATATTCGTACGAAATATTTATCATCTATTAATATCGATAAATATGCTGATATTGTTATCTGTCCAAGTTTTTCATCTGAAGATGCTCCATTTAGTCTTTTGTCGAATAAAGAAATTGTCGAGCAAATTGTTGCTTTTCCATTTCCACATGTTATCAAACTACATCCACTCACATATCAAATTAAGGACGATGATAATCCAATGTTAACTCTAAGTAACTTGGAACAAGAACATGTACATCATTTTCTTACATCGAAAAATATTTTACCGAACACACAAACAAACACATTAAAATTAATCGAACATGCTCGAGTTCTTATTTGTGATTCCGATTCGTCGATTCCATTTGAAGCACTGTATTTCAATGATCATAAGCACATTTTAGTTTACGAAATGGCTGAAAAACATGATAATAAAGACGATCGACAAACATATTTTCATATTTTTAACAATGCTCAACAATTGACTAGTTTACTCGAGCGTTACTTTGCTGGTAAACTCGAATGTAAAACGGAAAATAGTCATAAATTTTTCTTAGAAAAATATGTAGAACCCGATGGAAAAGAAATAGAACAACTGGCC